AACCGACACAAAGCCAACACCCCCCCCCCCCCCACCCCGGCTCAAGGGCCTTTGGGCCTGTGGCCCGCCTTGCCCCGCCAGCACTGGGGGGCCGGGGGCCCCCCTTGGCCCCCCCTGAAGCACGCGGTCTCTGCAACTGAACCCGAGGGGCCTCCGCGAAGAACCTCGCCGCAGCAGCACGGTCCAGGGCCCCTGTGCTCCCAGCAGGGTAACTCCCTGGGGCCCCGGCCGGCGTGACCCCAGAGCCCAGGAGGCCTCGGTTCAATCCCCAGGCAGGGCACAGTGGGGGGCGTGCAGGAGGCGGCCCATCAACGATTTTTCTCTCATCATCGATGTTTTCTCTTTCCCTCTCGCTGCCTCTCCCGGAATGAATAAAAACATATTAAAAATAGAAAGAGAAACAAACTCCTGGGGGGCGTGGGCAAAGCGCCCTGGAGAGGGCGGGCCCTGCACACGGGACGAGGCAGCCAGGCCATCGTGGGCTGCACCTGCCACCGCCCCGGGGCCGCGTCTGCAGCAGGGACCCCACCCACCGCGGCACGGGCAACGGGCTCCATCAGCTCCCACGGAGACCTCCAGAGAAGCACACGTCAGAGAAAGCAGCGTTTACTCAGCCAGAACCCCAATCGACGTCCAGGCCAACAGCAGAGCGGAGCGCGCCCGGCTGGCTCTCCTCCCTTCGGCGGCCGTCCCCAGCGCGTCCTCTCGGGGCCTCCGCTCCAGAGCACCCAGCAGCCGCACCCACACCCACACCTCGCTGAGCTCTCAGGAAACGCGAGACGTCATCGCAGAGAGAAATGTTCCAAGGCCACACAGGCCTCCCCGCTGTCCACACGCTCATCTGAGGCGCACGAGCATCTCACAGCGCCACCCCGCGCAGCAGCCTGAGGCCGCCGTGCCGGTCAGCAGTGCTACATCAAGGCCACGGCCAGCGAGAGTCCCAGGGCAGCACCGCCTCCCACATGACCAGGCCCAGCGCTCAGGGACTTTCCAGAGCCGGGGGCAGCCAGGGACTTCCCAGCCGCACGCCTGCGGCCGTGGCAGGAGCCCAGGACTGGCTGCCCTGCCAGAGCCCGGGACGCCGTCGCCCACACCACGGGCCTGGAGGCGGCAGAAACCCCAGAGCATCAGCGGTGGGGTTAGCCCACCTGTCCCCAGGGATCCCCGGCCTCTCAAAAGGCAGCGCGGCACCCGAGCTCCTGCCCTCCCAGGAGACCCTGGCCCTGAGGCCTGGAGGCCCCGGCAGTGACAGCCGAGGGTCGGCGCAGCATCACCCGTCTGTGCGGAGGCCCCAGTGGCCTCTGGGCAGCCGAACTCCATCCACAGGCAGACATCTCTCACTCCCAGAAGGCACAGGGGGCGGGGAGCCCCTGCACCCCAGAACTCCTCTGGCAGAACTCAGCGGAGCCCGAAGACCATGTCAACGGTCCATAGAGGACCGCACTGCCACTCGCGCCGGAAGCAGAGGGGAGAGCCCCCCAGGAACCAGGCTCCCCACGCAGCCCGACGGCCGCCACCCCGCCCCCCTGTCCACACCGAGGCGGCTCAGTCCCAGCCTGTGGCCTGGGCAGCCCTGGCAGGGGCTCACCTAACCATGGAGACCTGGGCTCCACACAAACAGCCCAGCCTCGCCAAAGGGGGCTGCCCGGTGGCACCGAGGCCTGTCCACCCTGACCACAACCTGCCCCAGCCCCTGGCGGCCACTGCACCTCCTGAGCCAGCCTCCTGCAGGCCTCACGCCCGGGGGCCCTCTAGGCTCTGCCTCTGTGTCTGCTCGTCTCGCTGAGCCAATGTCCTCCAGGTCCCCCACCCTGGACAGGGCGCCCGCCTTTTTTAGGGCTGAATAGTGTCCCGTGGTGTGGACAGGCCACCTCAGCTGGTGGACACTGGGCCACCGTGACCCTTGTTACAAGTAACCCTCTGCAATGTCGCTGTAAAGGGCATTCATCAAGAGAGGGGACCAGGAATTGCCCTAACCGGTTTGGTTCAGTGGATAGAGCGTCAGCCTGCGGACTCAAGGGTCCCAGGTTCAATTCCGGTCAAGGGCATGTACCTTGGGTGCGGGCACAACCCCAGCAGGGAGTGTGCAGGAGGCAGCTGATCGATGTTTCTAGCTCTCTATCCCTCTCCCGTCCTCTCTGTAAAAAAATCAATAAAATGTATTAAAAAAAAAAAAAAAGAGAGAGGGGACCAGGCCCTGGCCAGCAGCTCAGTGGTTAGTATCAGCCTGAGGGTCGCAGGTTCAATTCCTGATCCAGGGCACGAACCTGGGTTGTAGGTTCATCCCTGGCCCCAGTCAGGGCTCGTGTGGGAGGCAACCAATCAATGTATTTCTCTCTCATCAATGTTTCTCTCTCTCCCTCTCCCCCCTCCCTTCCATTCTCTCTAAAAAAAAAAAAAAGAAAAAGGAAAAATACCCTCAGGTGAGGACGAACAACAACAACAAAAACAAAGAGCGGTGACCAGGCACCTGGGCGACCTCGGCACCCCTCGGCCTCCACGCCCGTCACACTGAGCCCCCAACGTGCGGACACAAGACACGAGGCACCTGGCCTGGCGGAGACAGGGCCTGGGGCAGATGCACCTGTGACCCGGGACAAACGTGCAGGTGACTCTGCAGTTTCCAACATCAACACGACTCAGAGTAAGAAAGCGTTGGTCTGAAGACGCGACAGAGAAGGCCCACCACCGACAGCTGGTTCCTGCACGTGCGGCACACGCTGCAGTGGCTTTCCGGCAGCACATGCCCCCTGCACCCCGGAGTAGGGGCTGCACCCATTCCACAGGTCAGGAAACTGAGGCCACCGCCGGGCTCCATGGAAGGGTCTAGGTTCGTGCGACTGGGTATCTAAGTGGGCACATTAGAAGTGCCAGCTGCCGCTTTCACAGACGTCCGACAGATCCACACGGCAGCGTCACGCAGGCCCACCTGGCACCACGGCGTGTGGGAGGTGGCCTCCCGGGGGCAGTGCCGCAGGCAGGCCTACCTCGTACTCTTTGAGGGTCCCCTTCCAGGTGCAGCCGTCGCTGGGGCAGATGGCTGGCAGGCTCTCCACCTCCCTGCGGGCAGCATTGTCGGGGAAAGCCTGGGGAGACAGCGACCCTGTGTGAGCAGCCCGCAGCCGGCCCCCGAACCCAGGCCCTGACCGCAGCTGGTCCGAGCAGGAGCCAAGCGGGCACCTCCAGCTGCTGAGGGGCATCTGCCGCGGGTGCTACGACAGGAAACGCAGCGTGTTTTCTGTTCGTTTGGGTGTTCAGCCTCAGGACCCCTTACCGAGCTGCTCTCCAAAACCGAAACGCCTTCTTCGTAGATGCCCTCGTGCACACAGGCAGCACAGTTCTGGGGCCCGGAGCTGGGGAGAGGGTGCTGCATGAGACCTGCTGCCCAGGACAGGCGGCGGCTCACGCCACTCAGCACGTCAGCACCGCCTCCGTCAGCGACAAGCACACCGCGGTGATGTTCAAACGTTCAGAACGGAGAGAAGATCGCTGCTGTGACGGTCACCCACAAGGGGAACGAGGCGCGCCCACTCAGAGGCAGACCCTGGAGCAGGTGTGGCCCGCCCGCCCCGTGCCACAGCGCCCTGCCTCGCGACTCACCCGGCAGGCGCGACACACCCACCGCCAGCCAGCGCGGCACTGGAGATGTCTGTGCGCACGTCGGCCACAGGATGCCAGCAGAAACCACCGCACTAACGCACGCTGACCTCCACCCACACAGTGCACCTCCGCTCCGCTCCGCCCAGCCCTGCAGGGTCTCACCTCCACCCTCGTCTGCAGTGAACCTGTGCCCTCAAGGAGGGTTACCTGGAGCACAGCCTGCCTGAGCCTCTCTGGCCGGCCAGCCCTGCAGCCACCACCCGCCCCCCGTCGCCCACCCCGCCCCCCTACCTGAGGATGTTGCTCAGACAGAAGGAGCAGTAGCGGTGGCCACACTGTGCCTGGAAGGGCCTGCGCAGGACGTTCTTACAGGCTGAGCACAGGTACTTGTCCTCCAGCTTGGTCCCCAGGAGGGTCTTGGAGAAGCCGGGCTGCAGCACGTCTAGGGAGCCGGGAGGGGTCACGCTGGCTGCAGCCATGGAAGTCGCGTCCCCCGAGAACGCCAAGCCCTGAGGAAGAACAGAGGCATCGAGGCAGTCGAGAGGCGCCCGGCTCCGCAGTCATCCTCCGGGAAGTGCCGGCCTGGTGGGCAGGACTCTAACTGGTCAAGCCGACTGGTAGCAGCATGACTTGGACGCTCGGGAAACCATCCGTCCCATCTGCCGCCACAAACTTGGAAACCAAGGCTTAGCGGGTGTGGCGACCTGCCCACGCCACATGGTTGGCATCCGCACGCCCACCCGCAGCGCCTCGGCCAGTGGGCTGTCCTCCCCTTCCCGCCAACGCGAGTGCCCGGCGGTGCCCGGCCTCCTGAGGGTCCCACACTAACTCTGACGCTGCATGGACGGCCCCTACAACAGGTCGTGCACCAGCCTGCAGTGCCCAGAGGTGGCCACGCTGCCCAGCTGCCTCTCCCACACCAGCCGGTGCTTCTACTCTGCCCCGCCAGTTGCCACAGCCCCTGTCCCTTCAGCAGGCTGAGGGCAGGGGCACCTCCAGCTTCAGAGATCTGAAACCGCACATGGAACTCACTGTCCGACACCCACAGCATCAGAAGCCAAAGAAACGGGAGCTGCTCCCCCTGGGAAGGGGCACGTGCCCGGCGCCCGAACGGGAAGCACTGTCCCCCCAGGACCGCTCCACCCGGAGGACGCGGCCCTGCAGACTCCGCTCCCCCTCCGGCCGCGGCCCCAGGCGGGAGCCCCAGGCGGGAGCCCCAGGCAGAGGGGCCTGCACAGAGCGGCCAAGGCCCCGTTCTGGGGCCGACACCACAGGAAACAGCGACGGGTGGGGTGCCTTCGGGCAAACCACTCTGAGACTCTGAGTTTGGACCTGGCACTTGAGGCCTCACACCGGCGCACCGTGCGAGGTCGCGCAGCACACGGACACGAGTCTCTCGCTCACGCGATCGCAGGCCCCGCGCTGTCTGCACACGGAGCTGCCGGGACCCTGGACGATCCACCGTCCACCCACGACGAGGTGACCTCGTCCTTCCCGCCCACGCGGCTCAGACCGGAGGGCGAGGAGGTGGCCCAAGAAGAAACCTTCCGGCGGAGGATCTAAACCCCAAGCACCGATGCGCCAGGAGCACCGGCCAGGGCGCCGTGGGGGTCCCGGGTGACCTGCCCCCCCATGGGAACTAGGCCTCAGGGCACTCCTGCAGGACACACACCCTTCCCCAAAACACGCTCCAGACACGAGCGCACTCCTCCCACCACAGCTCGCCCTCTGCGAACGGGCTTTCTGCCCGATACAAAGCCGTGTTCACGGAGGCACTTGGGTTCCGTGGCGTCAGGGCCGGGCAATGCCGCCCTGTGGAGAGGGGCACGGGGACCAGCACTTTGGGGTGTTTGTTCCTCTTCCCAGGTCCTGGCACAGAGCTCCCCAAGCCCTGGGGCTGCCTGTGTGAGGGGCCAGAGGAGCATCTGTCAGTCACAGCCCTTCCACCAGCCTGCCCACTCCCTGCGGAGAGCGGGCTGCAGATGCCCCGAACCCCCAACGGCCAAGGAGGTGACCACTCATGCTCATGATGGGGCCCCCACAAGCCCCCAGGACGGGGTCGGAGAGCTTGGGGGGGCAGGGGGGGACATGTCTCCGTGCGGGGAGGACGGGGAGCCCCCCATCACTCAGCCTTTCCCAGCAGAAGCTCTGGACGCTGCGGTGGGTGTGTCAGAGGCTCTGGCAGGGCCCAGAGCAGAGACCACGTCCCAGCGAGGGCCTTGGGAGCGGCAGCTTCAGGGCTGAGCCGGGGTGAGGGGCTGGGGTGAGGGGCGTGTGTGCGCTGTGCTGACTGCAGAGAGGGAGGGAGGGAGGGACACACCAGTCGGCCGCCTCCACTGGGGAGCGAGTCTGCAGCTGGACATGTGCCCTGACCTCTGGGTGGAAGGTCGGGGCTCAATCACTGAGCCACACCAGCCAGGCCAGGACAAGACTTTAAGAAAAGCACTTCTTAGAACCGTGTTCGTTTGAAATTCAAACCACAGTAACTTCTGCGGCGTGTACGTTATACGGCAATAACGCTGTTTTCTTAAAAAAGAAAAACTTGAGCGGCAGCTCGGGGCTGGCTGGGACCCCCCCTAACACCGTAACTGTGACCAAAGCCCGGGCCTCGCTGGGCGGGGTCAGGGCGCCCGCTCCCCGGCTGCGAGCAGCTGTCCCGCCACCTCCCCGCGTCCATGACGACCCCACTCCAGGCCCCGGGCCGGGCAGCTGCCTCCACTCCCAGCCGCCCCCAGGCCTCACCACCCCTCCGGCCTCTTTCATCAGCGGACCCGCCAGGCTCCCCAGGCCCGAGAGAGACCCCGAGGTCCGAGAGGGACCCCCCAGGCCCAGGGTCCGCCTCCGCTCAGGCCGCGGGGGCGGGGCTGCAGGCTGACCTGGGCACCGGGCAGCACCTCGGTTAGTGACCAAGAGGCTCCCGGGGGCACCCCGCCCAGGGGAGGCTGAGCGGACCGCAGGGGAGGCGCGTGGGGACAGGCTGCGGGGGCAGCGGAGGGAGAAGGCGGCCCCGCGGGTGCGAGCGCTCAGCGCTGCCCCGGTTCGGCAGCTCCGGGTCCAAACCCCAACAGGTGGGAAGGCCCGTCTGCGGGCAGGAAGCGGCGGCCAGGCGGGGCAGGTGAGCCCCCCCGGGGTCGGGACGGAAGGGGCGAGACGCCACGGGCCGCAGCGACTCCAGGGAAGAGAGGTGCCGTGACCCCGCGTGGTGGACCCCCAGGCCGTGACCCCGCGTGGTGGACTCCGAGCCGTGACCCCCGCGCCGTGACCCCGCGCCGTGACCCCAGGCCGTGACCCCGAGCCGTGGACCCCCGGTCAAGCGCCCGCGGGCGTTCGCGAACTTTCAAGCGCCGGCCCCGCTCCGACTATCAGTTTCCGGTTCTCCCCACTGCCGAGAAATCCCCTCA